AAAAAGACCAAGTATTCCATTTCTCTAGATCCCAGAGGTTATATCCCCGGTAAGTTACTGCGTATGATATGATCCTTTTCATTTATTACATGCGATTAATTACTCTTGTCAAAATATGCATCAAATGTGTTAACTACTATTTTACAACTTAAAAATCAGTATATGAATTTACTATAAACAACCAACCTATTATGTGGGATCGAGAGAATGGATACGTTCACTTCACGGGCATTTGGAAAGCCCTTGGGAACAATAAAGCCGATATTGCTAGGTTAGTGGACACTCACCCTGACTTGGCTTCAACAATCAAGAAGGTTAGAGGTGGATTTCTCAAAATCCAAGGAACCTGGTAATTAATATTGGCATAATATATACTTTTGATTTTCGTATTGGTAACCGGATAAGGGCGATAAGCCACCGGTTCATTCAAGTATCCGTCGTCTTCGTCGGAGTCTTCTTGTTTTGCAGTCCTCTTCTTCGTCATGGCAGGTTTATGTCGCTGACCAACAACCATAGATAATTTTTCATTTGCTAGAGTTTCTTGAAAAGCAGCACCGAGTTCGGTGAAAGCTGATATAGGTGAAGCATGCTGTGACATTATGGGAAACTGAATAGAGATTCTGAATGGAGTTATGTGACAAACACAAGCTCGATAAAAATGCCAAAGGAGTTATTCCCACGGCAATATGCTTTCAATGCTTAACACTAGGTTCTGGTAATGCGCGTGTTTGTAATAAAATCAGTGATCAAGGAAAGCAACAAAGATGCGTGTGGTTAAAAAAAGTGTTGGAAATAAAAGAATGTTCCGCGAGACAATCAATAATATAGACCCCGAGAAACGAAGTCTATATGTTTAGATACAAACTTGATAAAGGATAATTTTTACAAGGCTCTGAAGTGACGTGAAGTTAATGAGGGGAGTGGGATAATACGTAGGAGAAATAACCAAGTAAGATCGTAAACAAGAAAAGAAGCGACAACGAACGAAGCTCGAGGCAAGAAGAGGA